CGACGACAGCGAGCTGGAGGGTCTGCCGGGCTTTCGGGACATCGTGAACATGGGGGTGAAGGTGGATTACATGACCCCGGACTTCCCCAGCCTCTCCTACCCAAATTACTACACACTGATGACGGGTGAGTACCTGCCTTTGCTGGGATGCTTCTCGGAGCTGCCAACTCCCACTGCCAATGCAGACTGCTTTTTCCCCTTGACTTTTCCCTGCAAAGATGACATAGAAATAACACAGGTCTTGCTTTTAGCTGGGAGTTTAAAAGCGGTGCAGCATTACAGCTCAGTATCACTTGTCCAAAACCTGCACTGAACTTGGAAACGCCGCATGGAGCTGATTTTTGAAGTTTCCCTTTTGCTCTCACACGGTGCTGCTGGGTCCCCACCTGCTGCCACCGCAGCAGCACGGCTGTCCAGCCCCAAAACCCCACTGGTGGGGGCTGCTGCATCTCGGGCATAAAAATGAGTGGGAAATGCACAGAAAACGAATACGAGCCTGCTCCCAGCCTTTCCAGTTAATAAAAAGGCATGTAAAGTGAGGGTGACTAAGATAAGAACTTCTTGTCAGCCAGCAAGTTCAGCGTTAAATTCCTTTTTAAACTTAACAGAATTTATGCTTAAACAGGCTTCTGTCTTAAGACATTAAGAATTCTTGCTTTTGTTCCCTACAGTTTCTCTTTTTCTGACTGCCCAGGAGAGGCTTTCCAAAAATTGGGAGGATAGTCACAATTTTCATGATACTGATTTCCTTTTAATCTAATCAGAGCAACACATTATTACAGTGATACTAGGAAGGTGCACAGAGTACAGCGGAGCCCTTCACAGCAGAGAAAGACACCCTGGAAAAAAACATTAAGTAGGAAAAACAAACAAACAGAAGAGTTTTTTTCTGGAGTTTCTGATTGTATTTTTCTGTAGAGTTATTTAACAAACAAGACTGTCCAGCTAATAAGAAGCAGTGAGAAAATCTATCCTCTCCTAAGATATGTGGCATCTTCTGCTGTCCTCAGAACAATACCATGCCCAGCAGTCCATACAGTGCTTGCTGGGAAAGCAAATAGATGCCATTGTAACACAAAAATCTGACATCAGTTGTGCCCAGCTTGTTTTGAAACTGTTTAACCCCTTCCTCCCTGACTTGAGAGAGGAATGCCTTTCTCTTGCTTGTCTCTGAACTGAGAAGAGTACCAAACGGCCCGCCACAGGTTTTTTTCATGCCTTGGTGTAAATGCATGAATGCAGAGCAGATGTCATGATGGAAAATAGAGGTGTCACTCCACTGCAGACCATGTTCTTTAGGTGTATATAGGCAAACCAGCTTAACACTTCATGTGTGCAAAAGCCTTTGGATGCAGTTAAAGAGAATAGGGAAAGCGATGGCTTTCTCTCCTTACCATATTTAATCATTACTCCTGTTAAGTGTGTATGTGTACAGTGAAGTCTATAATCAGCCTTTGGAGGAGTTTTGAAAACATCCTACTTTGTACTCACAAAGGAGTTTTGTTTTAGATGATGAAATACAAGTACTAGACTTTTAATGTTTTTAGGGTGCGAGAGTTTCTGCAGCCCAGCTTGAAGACCAAACTCTTCTTATAAGCTTCCTGACCTTTAGGATGGGGATCTCATTGCAAATACAAATGAACTGCAAATAACAATTCACCTTCATTACACGAGTCACAGCAGTGTTAAATAGCTCAGAACAAACAGAAGACCAAGTTGAGGTGATGAACAAGCACAGAGGAAGATCCAAGGCTGCGCTGCATGCCGTGGCTGTGTCCTGACAAGGCTGCGGGGTAAATCCCATGGCTGTGCTGTCCTTCCTACCCCCAGCACTACGGTGCGGTCTGTGCAGAAAAGGAGACATCACGTTTTAGGTGATGGTGGGGTTAGGAGTGTGGGGTACACGGCAGATGTAGCATTAGCCATGTTCAGTCTGTGCACGTTTGATTTGCAAAGCTGGAACAGCTTTAGGAAAAAATGCAGATTGGCAGGGTGACATAAGCATCACTCCATAGTGGCCTCCTGAGGGACAGGCAAGTTACCCTCTCCCCATTGCTGCTGTACAGGCGTGGGAAAGCTTACATTGCATCTTGCCAGTCATGCGTCTCCTCTGCAGGGGACAGGGATTGGACTCGTTTTGTTTCCATTTGCAACTGACATGTGCGGGACTTAAATTTTGCCACAGTTTCTTCTGGGAAATCAGGGACTGTAAGGCTGTCCTTCATGTCTTCTCCTAAACTGCTGTATCATGAGCTGTTAAGAAGCTCACATTTTTAACCTCTGAATTGCTGTATTAGAGCATTTGTGAGTGCAGTTTCATTCTATATCAGCTTTTTGAGCTAAATCAGCTTAAGAAATTTCTGGCCTCACCTGCCTATTCACCACCCCTGATTTGTTCACTGTATCCCACCACTGTTTCAGATAAGCACTCCTGTCCCTCCCTTCTCTGCTCATTCACAAGGTCTTGTGGCCCCGCATCCATTCAGGAGCATACACGGCTGCCACGTCTCAAACAGCGTGTGTGTGAAAACGCTGTGGTTGGGATGTATTTCTCTTTTGCATCTATCCATTTGTGTGAGCAAGGCTGCGTCCTCAGCATCTGCACAAGCTTTGTGACTCCAGAGAGAGGGTAGTTGTTTCGGGGGGTGCTGTCCCTCATTTCAGGGGCTTTGGAGGAGGACAGTGGACTCTGCTCCTGCGACACCATACCCATTGGGACTGGGGTGGTGCTCACAGCTCAACAGGAAGGCAAAGCACTACCCTGTATTAGCTGAAAGACAAATGCTATTTGCTTGAAGAAGTGTCAAACACCATCCAAGTCACTGCTGGAGCAAAGGCATCTTGCTAATGCTCAACCAGAGAAGTTGTTTTGTTACAAAAATCTGGTGGTGTGCAAGGTAGCCCAAGGATGTCCTGGCTTAAAATCCCACTCTTTGAAAAGCCATATTCTGTAACAACTTCATTAATGCCACCTTTCTCAGTCCTGGCTTCCACAGTGGTATAAAGACTCGTTCTTGGATGGTTGGGTTGTTTTCTGAGCTGTCAGGCTGGATCCTAGCTGGTGTCCTAGCTCTCCATGCTCCAGTTAGGATATTGCAGTTGTTGACCTGAAAGGTGTGACATAAAATGGTGAATTGTGTAAAAGGAGCTGTTGCTGCCAACACATGTGTTTGAGAGAGCTTTGTGGGGCTCAATATGGCCTTGGCAAGGGAGGGAAGGAGGAGTCCAAATACATGTATTCCAAAAGGCTCACTTAATTACACCATGTGCTGTTTGTTTTGCAAAGTAAGGAATTAAGACCACCAGCCACTTCAGCTTTTTATCCTGTGGGAAGCTTTTAATATTTCACTTTCTCTGCCTCAGCCTGGCTCTGTGGGGAGCTCTCATGCCAAGCTAAATGGAAAGTCTGCTGCAATCACGAGTTATTGCTTCAGAGCCCTTCATGACATGTCTGTTGAGAAAAGCTGCTCATGCGGAGGGGTTTGGGTCTCCCTCGCCTGCCAGCCTG